CTTCACCTCCTCTTGCTTGGCAAGAAGCATATCCTCCACGACCTTCATTCCAGCTTCTTCACCCTTCTTGCTGTCGTTTTCGTCGCCGGCAACGGCTTGGTCGAGAGCCAACTTGGTTTGACCAAGAGCGTAGATCTGCTCTTCGATCGTGTCCTTGGTGACAAGACGGATGACTTCTACCTCCCTGGTCTGCCCAACACGATGTGCTCGGTTCTCCGCTTGCACATCTTCCTGTGGGTTGAAGCTGGAATCGAAGATGACGACTTTGTTCGCACAGGCCAGATTGATTCCTGCACCACCGGCCTTCGTCGAAAGAAGAAATACAGGAATGTCGGTTCGCTCATGGAAAGCATCTAGAATGGACTGGCGATCCTCTACATTCGTCCGACCATCCAATCGAACGAAACCCAGGTGGAGAGTCTCAAGGACATGCTCGAGGATATCCATAACCAGAGTGAACTGGGAGAACACCAGTGTTCGATCCCCGTTCTCTTGGAACCGTTTGAGTAACTCGCAAAGCTTGCCAACTTTCCCAGAGTTCATCCACTCCTCGTTTTTGAGAGCAAACTTCCCCAGGGAATGAGGGTGATTGACACACAATTGATGACATTCAAAATCATTATAAGCCTGCAGCTCTTCGAAGATGATGTCTGGGTTGGATTGAGACCAATGCTCCTCCTTCAAGCAGGCCTTGGCCATACGGCTGAGGATGGTATCGGTGTAGTGACGCCGGTATAACAAAGGATGTATAGCAGCCTGTCGAAGCTTCATCAGAATGTTGGCAGACCTGTTACCAGTCTTCTTTCCGGCGGCGCGGTCAGCAAGGAGCTGACGAACTTCTTCCTTTTCATGCTCATAGATCTCCCTCTGAGAGATATTCAACTCGCAATACTCAACGTGAGAGGTCTTACGGGGCAGGTCGATGACTTGGTGCTTCTTTCGCCTCAATACAAACGGCTTGAGCATGGATTTGGCCCGTTCAATGCGCTGCGCCGAGAGAAGGGTGGAGTGCGACTCATCCACTGTCTTTGCCTTGTTTGCAAAGATATACTGAAGGTCTTCCTTGCGCTCTTGAAAGACCTTTGGAAGGATGAAGCCCAGTAGTGAGGCAAGTTCTTGGAGATTGTTCTGCAACGGCGTACCGGTCAAGAGAAGTCGAAAACGGGCCGGAATCCGTATCAGCTTCTCATACAACACTGATGTACTGCTCTTGAGCATATGTCCTTCATCATAGACACAAACACAGAAGTCCATGTTGCGCAAGAAATGGGCGTCAACCTTCGCCTTTGCGACAGTGTAGGTGGTGATAATCACGTTGATATCATCACGGTTGTCTTCGATGGTCTGGCGAATCAAGGCGCGTTCTGCTTGCCCTGCATAGTAAGGCATGACAGACAACGCCGGGCAAAATTTCTGAAACTCCCGAAGCCAATTCTCGATTGTCGACGAAGGCACAACCACCAAGTGCGGTCCTTTTATGCCCTTTTCATACAAGTGCGCTAAAAATGCAATGACCTGGCATGTCTTTCCAAGTCCCATGTCATCGGCCAAAATGCAGCTCAATTGCTTCTCAAACAGCAAGGACAACCAGTTAATCCCCACAATTTGATAATCTTTCATCTTCAGTTCGTCACTCATGATAGCAGGTTGAGAAATGAAACGAGACTTGCGTGAACCTGACGCAGGGCCATCGCTATCCTCGTCGGTACGCTGGCTAGCAGGTGTCCCAATGCCAGAATCGTGCGACTCTCGGTCAATCGATACCAGCTCTAATTCACCGTCCCGCTTACCAAAGATATCAACGCCCCATTTCTTCATTTCTGCTGCAACCGGGCGTCCAAGGGCTTCGCATTTGGCGACTAATGAATCCACCGCTTCATACCCCACCCACATATCGAGACATTTGTCAACGATCTTGTCGCCAATTGGCTTCGGTGACTTCCTGCCCCTGGCGCCCTTTGGCTTTGTGGTTTGCTCCGTTGATGGGGCGGGTACAGCGCGGGCCTCGTCTAGGGACCTGAATGGACGGTGGGAGATAATGACTTGGGCAACATCCTCCGTCGTTGCAGCCAGATCTGCAAGCTCTACAGCCTGGCACGTGTTGATGAACCTCAAAACCTTGATTTCGGATTCCCCATTTTCCAACGCATCGCCAACACCAGAGTCAGAGTCGTCCGTTATGATCAAAGGTGCTTCAGGTGATTCAGAACGTGCGGGTGAAGGCTGCTTCCGTCCCTGTACCAGTCGTCCAGGCTTTTTCTTGGGAGGAGTCTCGGAACGAGTAGGACTTGGGGAAACGACACGGTTCTTTGGTCCTCTCATCAAGCGTCTGCGGGGCTTCGCTTCTTCCTCGTCCAGCGGTTGTGGTTGCGACTGCGATTGAACCCTCTGGCTTGCCAAGTTCTTCTGCAGGTTCATGGCCGACCACTTATCCTGAATTGTCCCTCGAGCTTTAATGTTTTGCTTCGCTGGGGCGATCTGTTCGGCTTGTTGAGCTGTAATCAATTCATCGTCGGATGAACCAGGTGCATCTCGTTCCTCTGTATTTGCCAGATGATCCAATGCATCCTCATAATTGCCCCGCTTGAACACAAGAGCTTGCATGCAAGCTTGGACCGATTTCTGCGGCATCACTTTCAACATTCTCTCCACTTTGACCCTCATCTGGTAGTCTTGAATATCTTGTAATGACGTAACAGAAACTTCCACTGGTTGCGCGCGGGAAGGGCCACTCTGCCTGGGCTTCTTTATGGGGATTCCTTTGGGGGTCGGGTCCATCTGGGAAGCAGCGCGTTTGACGCTCGGGTTGTAGACCGCGGAGGAGGTGATCTCCTTGAACCGATCAAAAGATGACGAAGAATTGGCGCCCAGCGGGGAATCCATGACTTTTTCGGGACTTCGCGATGCCTTGGTGAACATAGACGGTTTGATATCCGTGCTTCTTTTCAACTGGGTATCTTCGTCGGAAGATCCACCGACGTATGTTGGACCGTCGTCGTCAAGATCTATGAGGGGCGTACGTTTTGCAGGGCCGGCAGAGGCAGGAGGGCAGAATCGCGTTCCAGGAGGTGCCATCGTATTAGAAAGGCGACCTCCCAGCGAGGCAGGGCGGGACGGCGAGGACGTTGGGCCTGGGGGAGAAGAAGCGGCAACTTGGACGGTACTTTTGGCCGAATGAGGGACTTCGATGATTTGTGTCGGTTGAGTAAATCGCTGAGAAGCAGGGGTCAACGATTGTGTTGCAAGTGATTGGAAGGGTTGAGCGGCCAGCGGAAGAGTGGCGATAGTCTCATATTCAATATCATCCTTGACGCCGGTCGGAGGAGTACTACGGACAATCCTCCTGTCGCTGACGGGGGTATCAGGGACGGAATCGTCCATGTTGTCAATCGACAACAGGCTATTAAGCAATAAAGATCGAATTAAAGATGGACAAATCAGACAGCAATGAAACAGGAGCAAAACCCCAACGGAGCGCCAAAAGAGTGCTCGCCTGCTTCTCCAGAATTCATTCCATCAGTGTCTTTTTTTTCCCTCCAACAAACGCGGCGGACGCGCCTGGGTCACGTGAGCTGGCGCCTCAATTAAGACCAACCGGGAAACAAGAACACATAGCCCTGTGAATAATGCAACATCTATGGGCAAGTCGACCAGGATGTAAGAATAGAATAATACTTTATACTTCCATTGTCAGATGCAACAATGATCATACCTATGGCTACTCATCTACCTCGAAACCAGTCCCCAGTATTCACACCATTACACCATTGAACAATACTGACCAATCACAGCCGCTGACGAATGGCTTTTCAGTCCCATCAGCTCCGCTCAATGCGCTCCATATCTGTACCGTCATTAGGTCAGTACTCCGTGCCTAGTTTAAGCTAAGCTAGGTACCTACCTTACTATGAAGTAACACTTTGAGGAGTAGATGCATATCAAGTTCTCAATAGCTCAACCTTTTATCTAGCATTATTCTCCATTGAGAGCAACTGATCAATTTTATCTGAAGGCGAAAAAAAAAAAAAGAACTCTTGTCTATTCACCCAATTCTCTACTTGTCGACAATTGCATATTGAACCTATTCCTCCGTCTTTCGACACCAGTTTACAACAACAGCAAGGCAACAGGTGCTTTTCTCACCCTTGATTTCGCTCACAATGACTAGCCGCCGCTCTCAAGAGAAATCCTATGCAGAGGCGGCTGCCGCACCGCCGGCAAAGGAATCAGCTAGCTCTGATGTTACCCCTGCAGTTCCCGCGTAAGTAGTTTCCACTATACTGCCCGCAGTCCGAGCATACGGATTGGTCCATATATTAGATTGATATAGGCTTATACTCATTTAGAGATGTCATCTACAAGCTGCTGGGATTCACAGCTGCCATGGTTGTCGGTCCTATCGGCATGTACTTTGTCACAGTAAACTCTGGTGGTATGTCTTTCTTCCATCCGATCAGTAATTTCGCTTCATTCAAGATTCATGCTGAGTTGGACAGCGAGTTCAACTGTGGCTGGTATCACGGCCGCCATCACTGCAAATCTGGTCTTATTCGGCTATATCTACGTGGCCTGGCAAGATGATCGAGAAGAGAGGGAAGCAGCATCAAAGAAGAAAGAGAGAAAGGCCCAGTAGATTGGGTCGATGTCGCCGGCAAATTAATTCCAGACGCTTTATTCAGTTTCTCGATATACCTATATGTGTACTTGATATGTTATGAGTTCGACTGGCAAAGTAGTGGATGCTGTGTGTTGAAAAGATCTGAAGCAATTCTGTTCCGATATTTTTGAATAGCCCCGTTTGATCCATTATGTTTCATGGTCAAGCATGCGATGATCGCCACAAACTATGTGTATCGCATGCATATAGTCGTCCTTACAAGATGTCCAAGGCTCAAATCAAATGGCCACTGACGCCTGCAGATGCACGAACAAGACTCGTGGTATGTGATAAAGTCAAGAAGTAGTGTTCAAAGAAACGCAGACTAAACAGCTTTTGGTATCTACGCCGGTCTTCTCTTGACGAATTCCTCCAAATCAGCCTTGGTTGCAACCCCGAGTACAAACTTCCGGGATGCATCAGTGACCACGGCAAACTGCTGCTTTTCTCTCCTTTCTCCGTTGGGTCCCTTTTCACTCTCGAAGAACTGCTCTAGCTCCTCTAACGGCGTCTCCATTGTGATGACCTGATATGTGCCACGCTTGCGGTTGAAGCGCTGCATGGCTGTTGCGACAGTGTCCGTTTCCTTGACGGTGCCTTGTTTGAGCAACTCCTTCAGTCGCGGTATGCTAAGGTATCCGAGTAAAGACCGATTCGATGAGATGACTGTCAGGTGGGTATAATCGCGCTCATATGCTGCGAGCATAGCGGAAGCAATAGAATCGCTAGGAGAGACAGAGAGCGCAGGAGGGGGGTCAAGATCTTCAACAGTAGCCTACAACAGAGGTTAATCACATCGAGGTGCTTCTTGTGGCATTCTGATTGTCATAGAGGGAAGACGAACCCCTCTATACTTGTCAGCCCAGGCAGTCTGACTTGTGGATACTTCGACATTTGGGGCGAGTTTCTCACGAGCGAATGCCTCGCTGGCGGTCATGTAAGAGGCCATTCTCGGAGGAGAGTGTCTGATATTCAGGAAGGGTGGATTAGGATGAGGGGCAGAACGGCGTTCAGTAGCGAGTCGACTTTCGGACCATCAATCAATGGCACTCTTGCTACAATGCGAGTCACAAGAAGCCTGAAAAAAGCTATTCGTCGCGCTATTGACTGTAATAGCAATCGAGCTTGAGTCAAGGTTAATTTTATGTCGAACGCGGCCCACTAATTTCGGCGGATCGGGATCGGCGCGGAGGGGAAAAATGAGCGCCATTTGTGACACGAGTGAGCGGAGAACGGGTGTTTAGCTAATCAGGATGCCAAAGTACGTCCAAAGTCCGACGTCATCGTCCTTCCGGCCCTTGTCAGACCTCATCATCCCCCTCCCAGTTTCTCGTCTCGATGTAATCTTCCATAATTTCGCTTGGGATTACCTGTGCCCGTGGCGTTATTTTAAAGTGCAAAGCTTGAAATCAGATCTGTATTCGTGCTCATCTACTTGCCTTCCTCGAACCGGCTCTTCCGCTCACCAGCCCTACGAGTGGAGACAACGACCTGGTATCGAGGATCCGTTCGTACCAGCTCATCAGATCAATTGACCAGACACCATCAATCAATAGTGTTATAGCTAACGGCTAATCAATTCCAAATTGAAATCATGTTTCCCTCTGACAGTGTGATCCTTGAGGCCTTCAACGCCCAGAACCCTCTGAACCGTCCCAAAGAGCCCAAGCAAGCGGGATCTGCGGCTTCGATCAGACGGGAGCCTTTCCCGGCGTGGAGTGTGATCGACGAGTCCAAGAAGAAAGCCGATGCTTTCGCTAAAGAGGCGGCTCGAGAATTCGATGTTGTCAGTCAAAAGGCTCAAGCCAAAACAGGCAAGATTGAGCCATGGACCCCCAAGTACTATGCATCTTGTACCGTCGGTGGTCTGCTGGCTTGTGTAGGTCTCAGGAGCTGATATGGTCTATTTTGATCTACTTTTAACCGATTAACAGGGTCTCACCCACACAGCAGTGACGCCACTGGATTTGATCAAATGCCGCCGACAAGTTGATTCGCAGCTGTACAAGAGCAACATGGAGGCGTTCCGCGTGATTCGCAGTGCAGAAGGCATAAGAGGCGTGTTCACTGGTTGGAGTCCGACATTTTTCGGATACAGCGTAAGCTGACGGTTTATGGCGCGGTTTTGATCAGAACTGACTGACAGGGGGCAAAGGCTCAAGGAGCATTCAAATATGGCGGTTACGAGTATTTCAAGAAGTTCTACTCTGATCTCGTGGGACCGGAGCGTGCCCATAAATGGAAGACGTCCTTGTATCTCGCCGCCAGTGCTTCGGCGGAACTCATCGCTGATGTCGCCCTATGCCCTTTCGAAGCTGTCAAGGTGCGCACGCAGACAACTATTCCTCCTGAATTCAAGGGGACTTTCTCTGGAATTTCTCAACTCGTCGGCAAGGAAGGAGTGGCTGGGTAAGTTTATATCGCTTCAGAATCTGCCTCCTGGATCTCTCACCACTGATCGCAATCATAGTCTCTACAAAGGTTTGTATCCGCTCTGGGGTCGACAAATCCCATACACCATGATGAAATTCGCGTCTTTCGAGACCATTGTGGAAGCTATCTACAACAGGCTGCCCCGAAAGAAGGAAGAATACGGCAAGGGCGCGCAGACTGCAGTCGCCTTTACTGGTGGTTACTTGGCCGGTATTCTTTGCGCCGTCGTGTCCCATCCCGCTGATGTTATGGTGAGTAAGCTGAATGCTACTCGAAAGCCTGGCGAGGCATTTGGTGCTGCAATGAGCCGTATCTACAAGGATATTGGCTTCAAGGGTCTTTGGAACGGTCTCCCCGTCAGAATCGTTATGATCGGAACTCTTGTGAGTGCTCTTTTTGCATGTGTTTGCGGCCAAGAGCTAACAACTCTCTGTACAGACTGGATTGCAATGGATGATGTGAGTTTCACCCTCCAAGTGCTAGAAACAATGGCAGATGTACTGACTTTCTCAGCTACGACTCGTTCAAGATCTTCATGGGTCTCCCAACCACCGGCGGTGGACCTCCCGCTGCGAAGAAGGAAACAAAGACCGCCGGCTTCTAGAGATTGAGGCTAGCGCATCGTGATAATGTCTTCGAGCTTTATCGGTTACAGTGAGATCTGGAGGACGTCTTTTCTATATAGTATGTTAAAAGGTAGTCATAACTCAAGTATTGAATAAAGTTTGTTGATCCACTGGTCTTCAAGTACTCTCGAATAATCTGGCTGATAATAAAGTATGTACTCCGTATCATCATCGCCAAGACATCTCTTATCAGTAACCACTTTAGTCACAGCTCGGACCAATCAGTAAACACTGCTGGCGTATCTTATCAGCCCACTGCGCCTCGACGTCACAGGGACTCTCCACAGTCTCCGAGACCACGAGGCTCGATGCGTGCTTGCCCACTGGTTCATCATTGTCATATAACGATGACATTGGTTTCCTAACAATCCCTACGATTCTTTCAGGGGTAGGATGTGTGGTGCAATTTTTCCTGTTCTGTAGTCAGACCTGTTGGCGAAGTTCCCCCAATCTCTGGGCCTTTTCTTTATATATCTCTCACATCCCGCATTTGCCTACGACCCCTCAACTCAGCACCTTGTTTATTATCAGGTAAGTCATAGTATCCGTAGCACCATCCTATTCATACTTCTAACTTCTTCATCCCAGTATCTCACTCGCTTCTGCAGAGTACATACCTACCAAACTTCATCTAAACAACAAACAACCCACCACCATGGGCGAGAACGAACCAATCGTCTCGCACGGCCGCGGAGGTACGCATACCATACATACCTAGTCTAAAATAACCCTCTCGAACCCCCTCTAACACCCATATCGCAAATCAGGCCAGGGCAACATCGGCGCAGACTCCACCCAGTACGTCGGCCCCCGCACCCGGGACCACCCAACCCACCCTCTAACCTAACCCCAGATACGTCGATGCCGCCATCGTCCGCGAAGGCCCCTACGGCGACCAAGGCGACGGCGCCTACTCGGCCGGTGTAAGTCGCGCCCTGTCCCACGCCAATCAAGCAGACAAATGAGCAGATACTGAGCGAATGCGACGACAGCGCGGCGGAGCGGGCAACATCGGCTCCCCCAGCGTGCGGCCCACGTCGCGGGTGCCCCACGATGCGGAAATCATCCCCGAGCTGGCGATCCGCAAGTCGACGGATGAGAACTATCACGTTGGGGTATGTTCATGTTCATGTCCACGTCCACGTTCACGTCTTCCTCTCCCTTCCCGTCTCGCTTTATCTTCAGCGCAAGCGGGTTGGAGCGCTGTGGTGTGCTGTAACTAACTGTACCTCGTTTACCCAGCGCGGCGGCCAGGGGAACGTCCACCTGGATGAAGAAACCCGTAAGGAGAAGGAGGAGAAGAAACGCCAGCATCATCAGCATCATCCTGAGGGGTTGGCGGATAAGCTCAAGCATAAGCTTTTTGGGAGGGGTTAGATGATACGTTAGAGTGGGGACCACATAGATTGTTAGTATGGCAGTGCTTTGTCTAGGATATTGTTATGATTCCCTGTCTGCTTTTGATAGTGCTGGGTCTATCGTTGTCAGTCTGTAGAACAAATCGATAATGTGATATGCACAATCGGGTCTAGATCCCGTTATGAAAGTTGTGAACATCTTTTTATCAAACAGCGGCAGACTCATAGTCTATCGTCATCTTGCATAAGCCTATTAACATGCAGAAAAGGTGTTATATCAACATACACCGCCTGTTGATAACGAGTTCTGCACCAAAGGACTAGACCATTGTCAGTGGAGGATTGATCCCATCTTCCGTAGATCCTTTGAACGTAGTCAGAAACAGGGAACAAAATATGTACTCGAAATATCAAGCAAACACGAGAACGGCACATTAATCAATCGATGATTGGCCCGGGCATCCATGTATCGTGACATCGTCAAGCATAAACGTATCGAGCCGTAAGAAAGCTCGATGAAAACATTCAGGAGGATTAACATTAACAAAAGAAGCAAAGACGCAATTTCCCTGTTTTCCCATGTCTGAACTCGAGAAGAAAAACGCCCACTAAGAACAATCATTACATACGTTAGAAGAGTAGCGAATGAGAACCAGATAAACACCTATGTATCCCTTAATCCTTGCCAAACTTGCGCTTGAACCAACTCTTTCGCTTATCTCCTGTATCGGACATGTTCACCGATTTTCGCAGTTGACGACGGTTGGGCGCTGACGCGGCGGCTGGGGTGCCGCCAACAGGGCCCCCAGCGTTAGGATCGAAGGCTGGTGCTTGGCTGAAGCTATGTACGGGAGCTTTTGAAGGTGCCGGCGCATAGCCATTGAGATTGTGTTGAGAATTGAACCCTTGCTGTCCAAATTGTAGCTGCTGGGACAATTGGTCGATCGAACTGTTCACGGAGCTGGGGTCGGTCGAATTGCCCCAGGCATCTGTGTGGCTTCCACCGGACCCAGAGGCCGCAGTGATATTATCGAAGGACTTCTGGTGTGAATGTTGTGCGTACCCGTTCGAGCCGGTGCTGTATCCTGTTTGATCGGTATACACGCGCGGGTTGGGTCGTGGTCGACGACCGCCGCCTTGGTTGTACGGGTAGTAGCCATTATCTTGAGGCTGGCCATTGTAAGTATCGACGTAACTCTCTGGTCGCGAATAGGTTCCCCGTTGATTGAAGTATCCGCTCTGATCACTGTATCCTCTGTTTGGATGGTACCCGTTTCCACGGCTGGACTCTACATGCGACCATGGCTGTTAGCATACTATATCACGAAATGACAGTTCAAGCGATAGCATATTGTCTTCAGAGACGATAGTTTAAAAGGGCGTATTCACCTCCATAGTAGCTGCCACGTTTGTTGTGCTCTCCACCGTTAGGTGACTCTGTAGATACGCTTGTTAACAATCTGAAATGCATGACAGAAATGACAGATTCGAACTCACCTGTTCTCGCCCACGAAACGGGCCTACTACTGTACGTCCCTTCAAAAGCAGCTTCAAAAGCTCGGATGGTCTCTAATGGACGTTCAAATCGAGGACGAGTGGGATTGGAAAGATCGGGTTCAGCTTTGATCACAAACACTGTGTCAGTAGAAAGTCACAGCAGATTGTACAAGCTCTGACTACGTACTGATAATCTGCCCAAATCGGTCTTTGTGCTGCATAGCTCTTAAAGAGCCCAGGGTCGACTGTTCGAGGGCAACAGCCGCTGATTGATCAAAAAGTCAGTTACTATGCGGACGCAGAGCTAACAGAAAGAAGAAGGGAGGAATGAAGTTTAGGTGTGGAGTCCAAATCGTGGAGGATGTTGCAGAATATTGAGCGACCGAAAGAGAGTTAGATATGGGACCGACGTACCTGGTTGCGCTTCGTTCATAGCAAGCGTTGGATCGGCTTTGGTATGTAAACTGCGCCTGTGCTTCTCCTCCGAAGACTCCCTGAGAGAGATTTTATTGCTGGCAGAATTGCTCGACCGGCGAGATTTATCAGACCTGCCTCCGAAACTGAGACCACGACTCGGTCTGGGCGACGCGACCGGCTGGGAGGGGGCCATCTTTATTTTATGTCAAAGCCCGTTTTTTCTGCTTCAACTAAGTCACTTAGCGGCCGATAAACAAGTTTGTCAACAGATAGCTCCACTGACGACAGGAGTAGCTCCGTCGTGATCTGCCTGAACTATGGCAGGCTGGCGGCCGTAGTGGAGCGCAACAGGTGGACACTGCCAAGAATTGTATGAACAAACACGATTGCGCTGTGTTGCTTTGGATTGGTTCTATCAAACGCTCGGTAACTACCTAGATAGGAGCCTTGAATGCAGCGAACGGTGGACGTTGACGAACGAGTGGAAGCGGCAGCTTGAGCTTTGAAACGCTTCCGCAGATTGCAGTGTCTATGCTGTGGAGACGCTGGTACTATACGAGGCTGCAGAGGAGTCGAATTTGAACCGACAGATATCTTCTTCTTACGGTTGCTTCAGCAGCCAGCAGGTCGGAAAAAGCAAAAGAAAGCACTTCCGAAAGTCGTCACTGCTGAATGGAAACGAGAGAGTGTACAGAGTTACGTCGTAAATATGCGCAAGAGACCGTGCGAACTTGCGAAGATGTATCGAGCGAGCTCGCAGGGAATAAACTGGGAAGCGACTAGCAGCCGAAAGACAGCTGGATCGGCAGAAAATAGATAGTTCGAGCGTTTTCCGAGATAATTGAATTTGTGCCGCAAAGATCGACAGTGATGGTGATGGAAGTTGTTAGACGTTAGTTGGGACAGACGGCCAAAGTGTCACAAGAATTAGGGTGCTCTCCAAACGAAGGTCAGTGAGAAGAAGTGCTAGAATAATAATATTCAGCTAGCTAGAGACCAAAGAAAAGGCAGGCAGATAGGCCACAGTTATAGTGGTAGGTAGTAATCGAGAAACACAGCGTTTCGAAGTTGACGACAGACGCCACGCAATATTCTGAAGAGAGGGGAACCATAACCAAAGAATTAAATAAAAATAAAACCCAAAGCAAGTGCTACTGTGCCATGCTATGCTGCTGGACTGAACCGCCTCCCACGAGTCGGATGATGGCGCTATATTATTGTTCAAGCCACCTGACTGCTGAGTACGTAGAAGGCTCTGGTTATGTCTATTCTGGTAGGTTAGTACCTTAGGATCTTGGTATCGACTACCTTTCTTGCAGACTACGCTACGTACTCTTCGTATGGAGAAAAGAAAACAATATCTCAGCAACTATAACAGCAATTCTTAGAGCCCTGAATCTGCCACTTGTGCCCAACTGCGACAATGCATCTCTTTCCATCTTGATAGGATTGCAAGACCACGATCTAGGCAGCCGGGAATAAAAAGCAAGAAAATTCAGTAAAGGTAAAATACCACTAGGCCGAAAAGTCAATTAACTCAGTCAGAATCCAAACGAATTAATACGGCCACTCCAATATCCAAGACAAAGAAGGGCTCTGAGCGGCCCACAGGCTTCCCTCACTGGCTGGCGGCCGTTAGGCAAGAAACCAATCGGCTACCGGAAGGTTCCCCAGCCACCGTCAGCGGGTCGTCTCGTTGGCCGGGAGAAGTCCAGGAACTGGGTCCATCCTGTTCTTGAGTCAACAGTTCCTTGGATGTGATCGAAAGCGAGAATTATGGACTCGTGTGCTTGAGAGAATGCGATTGTTTTAAAAATAGAGAGCATAGGAGCATTTTGTAAATAGAAAAGAATTGTTTTCTAATCAATAATTTGTTAGAAAGGAAAGAATATTCTTACTGATTGTTAGTAGTGAAGAGTTTCGAATCTACGACTATGTCATGATTACTTAATCATGGTGGACTGGTATTTTTATTTTTAGGTTAACTCTAAAACTGATTAGCTTTAGCCTGTGTTTCGTCGTGCATTGTTCTCAGAGCTCAGAGTACGGATACTGCAGCCGATTGTTACATTATTATTATCTGTACTCCGTACCTTAGGAGGGTACCTAGGCATATCTGGCTGTGGAAAAGCCCAGTCAACCCCTGTTCAAAGCAAACAATAAGCTGAATCTTTTGAATCCATCTGTATCCGCGTCCCTCCCATTGGTTCCTCTCCCGTGCCAACAGCTAGGCGACTTCGAGGATACAACTAGATAATTTCATTCGAGGTCATGACAGGGCGGGGTTATGTTACCTTATGCTACACTGCACAAACTGCAAAGTACTACGTATGCAGTCCTTACCTATGTACTGGCGCGTGGAGTGAGCATGAGATAGCATCATAGCTCAGACATTACTAGTAAATACAACCCGAACTTTTGGGCTCGATATTAGTTGAGTCAAAAGAGAAGCCACTCTCATCCCTTTCTCTAACAAGATCCCTATTATATGCACAGAGGCTTCGAACACTGCTTCGAATGGGGGTCTGAGGCTCGTCGGTCGTCACGACGCACGAGTTAGTGAGGATCATCAGTATGACCTGGTGGGTCTCTGTGGTGCGGGATGGCGCATTACTTTAATTATCACTCCGCAGAGACTCCAAACGAACAAGCATTAAAATGATTTTGGCTCCCGGTCGTTTCAGATCTGCTGAGGAAGGGAGGCAAGGGGTTCAGAACTCCGCTAACCTTGACTTTTTGGCACCGCGTTCCGATATCACATTTGCTTGGCCGATGGCATATATGTATTCAGGAAGATAACTCCTGTACAGATATTCACGCTGAACGGACGCAAGGTAGGAAAAGCTGAAGGATAGTTTGCAGTGGGAAAGAGCAGATTGCTTCGACATATGTACACCAGTTCCTGTATCTGAACTGGTGTGAGTAAACTCAATTAGGTTCCCTTTGAGATCAGTTCTGCCTAGTATATGGAATACAAGTGCTTTTCAGTTGATAGACACTTGAACGAACCCTCGTTCAGATAAGCCAGTAATCCTTAATCCGATTTCAGCAATCTGCATGACAAGCGACGCCTTGAAATTGACTCGAGCATTCCAAGTACATCTGGAAACCGGATGCGGGTCATAAAATTGCAGAGATCGCAGGAATATCTACTGTGACAGAAGAAGCATCATATTACTCACTCCATTACCAACCCGGCGCGCCGATTCTGCAAGCTAGTCGGGAGTGACTGTTTGAAATACATTTTTTTGACTTAACTGCAGCCAAAGCCGTGGTACTTTCGTACATAGTTCTCGGACCTGCATGTTATGTACCACGTCGAATATAGTCCTACCTGTCCGGCCTCTACCTCAATAGGGTTGCGAGCGAACATCAATGTGATGATCAATCTCTCATACGGAACGCATTGAGATGCTGTAGACATGATATCTAGGGAGGGATAACATCAGGCTGGGTATATCGAGCCTTGCGGGCATGTCAATGGGGCTGTGACTGTCAAGGTTTCAATCGGAGTATGGCATCTGGTTCCTATACTTGTATGATTTACAGGTGTGAGAGAAGTCACGGCTTACTCATTCCTAACGCAGATGCCAAAGGCTGCCATAGACTGCTTGTTCCAGCTACTGGGCGTGTGATCCCTCGTTCTATATGGTTACTCCCATCCGGTGAATCATTAGCTGTAATTATTGGGCATAGAGCAACCGCAATCCCTGGGAAGCCCACGCGGGTTACTAAAATGAGCCTGGCAGATAGAGCCGTGTCGCAGAAGGATTTCACAAGACCGATTTCGACATGCAGCGGCCATGTTGCGTTGGATGTTGGGAGATTATACGAGGTCATCAAAGTTGAGTTCCTGGCGTGGGATGGCAGAGCGGCGAAGTGAACAAGACCCCCCATCCAATTATCCTTGAACCCACCCGTCATCCATTTCCGCTACCATACGTCCAATCCGAAAGCAACGCGCTCTTTGTTGAAAATGTGTGGATTTGGTTGTTTATGAGTGTCAGATACACTGGGAAAGAAGCCACGTTGTCAGACAAGGCACATCATGCTCGCCAATGTAGAAAACACGACAAGCCCTTCTAGATGCCTGGAGGCCGACAATGTCGCCACGCTGGTAGAGTCTGAAGAAAATAACAAAAATTCTTTTGATTTTAATTCGTAGGGCTGGTCGGCCCTGCCTCTCCCACGAACATTATCAACCCGCCAACTCCATCATCTCAACATCGGCTCATACCGTCGACTCCTTGCCCGACTGTCTGTGCGAAGTTTCCGGATTGCCCAACTAACAGATAATAAACATGGGTCATTTAGATGTTGGAGGGGTAGAGCATGACGCGGACGGTGGCACCGAAGGACTTGGGGGGGAGGTTGTGGCGGAACTGAGCACGGACAACGCCGGAGTTGCCTGTAAGGTTGATATCGTCAGTTGTTGTTCCTCCTAGCAGCCGTCGTCCCACAGGGCTGCGATGCCAATATCACCAATCTATCGCATTGAAAGCACGTACCGTGTGGCCGGGTAACCTTGCCCCAGATGACCCGGATGTTGGAACCCCGAACCTCACGCTTCGCCCGGTAAACGAAAGCAACCTTCTTGCCGAGGTAGAAGCTGTAAAACAACGGTCTTAGCTGCATGTTCACTAAGTCGTGACCCTTTCGACCAGTGTATACTCACTTTGCGGCCTCAGTGCTGTCAACACCGTCGATCTTGATCAGACTATACAAGGTGTCAGCCTCCCATATCCCTCGACGTCCAGCTTCAGTGGATAGCTACCTGGTGTTGGGGTTGACCGCGCGCTTGGAGCGCTGGTAGCTCAGGTGGCGACCCCTGCACAAAGAATTCGTATTAACCCATCTGTCCATATGATTTCCTTTCGACTTGGCCCCCCTAGCCCGATCCCACAGTGCGACATTTAACATTTGTATATCGCATTCCGAATGATCGCGACTCGACGGAAAATCGATGAGAAGATCGTGGTAACTTACTTGACGTAGACTGTGCAAGTAGAAAATATCCCGTTAGCATGATCCTTTATAAATTCCATAATCGCTCCGCATCCATCCCCCGACACCCATTCCCCAACCTCTGCGCACACATCGATATCAAGCTAAACGGAGAGGGATCACTCACGTCTGTGACCTTGTTCCGAAGGCATTCTGACGGTTTATCTGAGCAACAGCGGGCAACGCAAA